AGTGCGTGGCTTGCTTGGAAGGGGCTGGGTACAAAGGGAATACTGAAAAAAAAAATTATTTATTTTTGAGAGACAGAGACAGAATGTGAGCAGGGCAGGGGCAGAGAGACAGGGAGACACAGAATCTGAAGCAGGTTCCAGGCTCTGAGCTGTCAGCACAGAGCCTGATGTGGGGCTTGAACTCACGAACTGGGAGATCAGGACCTGAGCCAAAGTCGGATGCTTAACTGACTGGGCCACCCAGGCGCCCTGAAAGGGAATACTTTCAAGCACATCTCTTCTCCCCTACCTCTTTAGTTATTAATGAAGAATTTTTTTGGAGTAGTGGTTAAAAGCAGGGGCTTTGGAATGAGACCAGGAAGGCCGCCCAACCTGGAGGGATGTGCCCCCTACAAAGCCCTTCACGTCTGGGTCAGACAGGGCATTGACCTTCACCTGCTTTGTGTCTGCCTCCTGAGGGAGCCACCTGTGTGTGCCCCATGGTCCTGTCTGGCTGCGGCCTGGGGCAGTGTCACTTCTACAAATCCAGGGTCCCTTTTCTTCTCCAGAACCCTCTGTGGGGCGGTCTGTGTCTCACTCGGGAGCTGGCAAACACGTTCCTGCCCCTGGCCACGTAACTCTCTTTCCTGTGGGCTTCCCTGGGTGCTGATCGGGCTTTTTCACACTGGCCTAGAAGGTAACTGTGGGACTGTCTCCTGGGCTGGACTGGAGCCCCTTGGGGGCAGGGAGCGGGGCTTACCCTCCTTTGTGTCCCCCACAGCTGGCGCAGTGGCTGAAATATCACACGTGCCAGGAAGGGTTTATACAAGATGTGGGGCCTGAGCACACGCTTCAGCAGGCCGTCGGCCTTTCTGGCTTCGAGCTCACCTCCTGAGAGAGTGCTAGCGGCTTCTCGTTGCCCCTGGGAATCCAGGAGTTATTTACCGGTAGTGTTTAAAGAGTTTTCTGGTATGCCTTCAGTCTGCCATTCCCACATTTCTCCTCCAAAGCTCCTATAGGTTAGGGAGGGAAATACAATGCACAGAGACTTCAGGGGGATTTTAAACGCTCCCCACTTAAATGTTCCCCAGGGGTGCCTGGCTGGCTCAGTCAGTTAAACGTACGGCTCTTGATATAAGCTCAGGTCATATAAGCTCACAGTTTGTGGGTCTGAGCCCTGCATCCGGCTCTGTGCTGACAGCTCAGAGCCTGCATGGGATTCTCTCTCCCCCTCTCTCTGCCCCTCCCCTGTTAGCTATGTCTCTCTCAAAAATAAATAAAAATATTAAAAAAATGTTCCCCAGTGTAGAAAACCTGCCTGGTCCCCGCAGGCTGACCCCTGCCACCCCTTCC